TGGATTAAAAGTATTCCACAAATTTAATCACACAAAAAGTTCTTTAGGGAACAAAATAAACTTTTCAGTACCACCTGACCCTTTAATTAGTGCCCCATCCACCCCCCACCGACAGTGTTAATGTAATAAGTAGGCATGTACACAGCATGTAAAAGTTCAGATAATCAGTAGAACCCTGCTCTGCCTTTACCTTTCCTCTCTCTCCTCTTGTGCATACCTTTTTATCAGTAATTTCTTCTTGAAGTACAAGGCTCTTTTGTTGATTTTCAGAGCAGCAATTTGGCTCCAGCGAGGGGCCCAGGCAACTAAAAATCTGCTTTGATGACTCTAAATGGAGAGATTATCCAAATGAAAGGCAATTATCCAAACCCCACCCATCCCTCTACCCGTTAATATCTCTCTGAGCTTTTTTTTTTTATTCCATTCAGTACTCATGCTTCATCATCCCTTGGTTATTCATCAAATTCACTGTTTGATTCCACCTGTTTTCCCTTCTCCTCCCTTCTCCACCTCCATAATGTTCTACTCACTTCATCATCTCAGCTTTTTATTCCCTCTTCTCTCCTTCTTTATCCCCAATCACCTGTCTAAACACATCCTTTTCTCCTTTTTCGGTTACGCTTTTCTTTGTCTCCCCTTTTGGTTCTGCTGCATTCCCCTTCTTTTCCCAGGAGAGCCATTAACTGAATTGGCCACAGAGGCCATTTAAGAAAGAGAACACTGATAAACATCCCATTTCTATTTTGAGGCTAGCAACAACTGCTAATTGCTTCCATTCAAGCTGTTTTTGAAAGAAAAGTCTAACACTGACTAAATTGGACCAATAAGTTTAAAAGAATAATAAAGACCAAACCAACAAGCCATGTGTCTTTTTGGTTAAGTCTTTTAACCCACAGATACTGGTTATGTTTCATGCCTTCACAGTATAGTCCGGGTTAATTCCCTTCATATTAACTGTGTTTTGAACCACAGGTCAATTTATAATGTCTAAATAGCATCTCTGAAATTAACAAATTGTTAATAATCCTTAATTAATGTTTCAGAGAGCAGGAAGAATGTATCGTTTAGGCTACTGGATGGTATCTACCATCACACAATAGCATGCCCTGTTTTACTCAACACATGAAAACATAACAAATATAATGAATTTAAACACATTTTATCAAAAGCGGAAATCACGAGAACATTCTGGAACTGTTGGGAGTTATTATGCCTTACCACTAAAACCTTACGTATGTGGCATTTTCACATATGCTTCCCACATATTACATAACTGCATGATGCTTGATTTAAATATCCTTCTCCTTATATTTTATGACTTGAGAAAGGAAATCCCAGAAATACGACACAACAGGTTCTGGTGCAAAAATCTTTGAGCTCCCACCTCTTCCAAACAATCTTATCACTGCACTCTCTTTGTAAATGCCAAGAGTACTTTTTTAATGCCAAAACCCAGATCGCACTGGCATAAGACATTAGCAAATTTGACCTTATGTCTCTTGGCTGACTGGGAATACTTTGGTGAATATTGATATATATCCAAAATCGTTTGGGTCAAATTTGACCCTGAACAGTCTCAGGGTACAACAATTTATATTATACTATACAATTTTTAAATACATCTTGTGTATTTTGGGTCACTTTATAAAAAAGTCTTAAAATTCAGGTCAAAAGCATAACATTTAGGGTACGTTTTCTGCTGTCAAATGTCAAAAAAGGCTACATTTGGCCTGAACAGGATGCAAGGGTTAAGCTGGGTGTCTTTGTTATATTAAGGTCAAATTAATTTCATTCATTCCAAGTTTGCTGCACGAGATGTCACACCTCCTCTCCCTTCTCTCTGCTCTCACTCACCATTGTGTTCCCTAATGAAACAGCAAAGGTAAAGGCTTTACAATAGACGGTGAGTAATGGGGACTGGTGAACACAGACACACACAGACACACGCACTCAAAAACTAAACTCCATGTTGTAAACACAGTGAGTGCACTGCAGAGGGAGAATCTCCGGTTACAGGGTCACTCGGTCTCGTTCGTCTTTTTTTCCCGCTGTCATCGGCTTGCTTGTCCTTTCAGTCTCATCCCTCATTCCAAAGCCATCTTTGACAAATACATTTATAATGAATTGATGCTTTTATAATCATATAATATCTTTTGTCTTGGTTCCAATGTTCCAACACATCAGAGATCTGAAGTGTGGGTTTCATGCTTTGTACTTTCCACAGCCTCTGCCAGTCTGGCAACCTTTTGGCTGTGTTCCTTTTTTGGCACCAGAGCGGGGTGTATTTACCTCATGCCCGGCCAGGGCAGGATTTCCCAAAGGGAAAATAACACCAAACACCTCTGTGCTGCTTACAATCACCATAAAAGGTGATATGAACACTGTGTTCCTGTTGCAAAGCCAAATATTAACACAACACTGAATTTAACCTGCCTAAGATAGTAGGCTAAAGGGACATTTTTATTGTTGTTGTTGTTGCTGTTGTTGTGTAAGCCAGTATTTGTTCATGTTTCATTTGAAAACCAAAAAAAACAAAACAAAAAAAAAGCAATAAATGAAAAGAATAAAGATGTCTTTGGGAATTAAATATACTGCTGAGTGAATTCAGGACCATGGACAGAGACAAACACTCTGTCTTTCTATGAAACCAAACAAATAAGGAAAATATTGTGTCTCACTCACATGAAAGGACTTAGAAAGCATTGTACAGGTCAAACGATGAGGACTGCATGAGAAAGTGAAATGTCCTCAAAGCCATTTAAAGATCTCTTATGTCAGATTTTGTTTTCTGAGATGTCTGTCTGTTAATGTAATTTTTGCTCAATGTCATCCAAGGGGACCAATAATGCAGTATGCTTTTCTGTGCCTGTAATATGACGTGCCACACAATCTGATACAGGTGATTTTGAGGGTGACATTACAGGCTGCAAATGCAGACATGCACATACCGACACAGAGAACACACACACACACAAACGCACACATGTTCCTCAGTTCTCTTGTTTGATGCAAAAAGCCACCTCCTCTGAACCACAGTCACAAATTCTCCATGCTCTTTTGGGGGTTCTGCTGTCAAATCCCCTGCCAGATAGCAAACAGGCAAAATCTATTAAGAGCCACAACATGACGTAATGTGGTTCATGCCACAGAATCAGTTATAACAAGGTCAGCAGCAGTCTGCAGAAGATTTGCTTCCCTTTGACTGTAAAAACTGATAATCATAAAGACAATGGATGAATGGATAGATGGATGAATAATAATAATAATAATAATAATAATAATAATGAGATTAAGAGTCCCAGAGCAGCAAAACCTCCTAATTTCCCAAAAAAAAGGATGGCAGGTGCCAAACTTTCCGTAGGACATTATTATATACGTATCACAAGAAGATGACGTAATGTGTTTGTTGTAATGAAGGTTAATGTCATCATGTTAGACCTACTTTTAATGTTTCATGGCAAATATTTTGCAGAGCAACAGTGCCACTGTGTGGACATTTATGAATGCAGCAGGTTACATAAGATTCCAGTGACAAAGCATTACATCATATTTTTGTGTATGTTAAACTCTCAGCAGTACATAAACACCACTTGTGAAACATGGGACGGCAAATTCTTAAAGAAGTAGATTATTCTGATACCTTCCACTTGCACACATCTAGCATACTCTATAGAGGAAAAATGAATACAGAAAGTGGTGATGATGATGATGACAGAATCACAGGAGCATGAGTGTTGCTAACTATTGGTTCTTGGGTATATTGTTACCCATGAACTAAACTATTTTAGTTCTCGGGTAATAATATGTCAAACAAACTTTGATTAGATTCCTTGATTTTCATTCACTAGCTCATTTTTATTAAAATGTGACTTTTTTTGACGGTGTTGAAACAAGTAAATACTACTGATTATAACTCTATGCTTAAATATATATTACAAACAAACTACTTAAGGATATAATTACAAATGCAAACCCCAGAACAATATGAGCAAGAGGAGATATGACATTAAACTAATTAAAGCAGCATTTCACTGGTATATTTTTTATCCAGTGTAGTCAAAGAAACCCTTAAATATAAACCTATACTATATACAGTAGCAATGCTTTCCTTTCTTTGACTTGGGGATGAATACAGCACCGCTGAGCTTAATAGCCACCATGAAAACAAACAGGTGTAGATATTAAAATTTCACTTCTATTCACTGTGATCTTTTTCGTGTTTTTGCATTACCATTGTCAGATGCACCAGGAGTCAAGCTCTGTCTGCTCTTAATCTTCTTTAAGGAGAGCAGTCTCGCCTGAGAAATCTCTCTTACAATGGAGGACAGGTGTTCCTTGTTGTGGCTTGGAGGCGAGGCCTTAGGAGACTCTCCATCTCCACTGTCACTGCTCTGGACCATGGACTTACCCTGCAGAAAGTAGCAGTCAGATTTAGTTAGTAAGAAACTTCTCAAAATCATGACGATGGAGAGTAAAAAAAGGCTTTCCTTTTTGGTTTTGTTTCTTCGTTTTTTCCAAGGTTGGGTTTTTGAATTTTTTGTTATGTTTTTTTTTTTTTAGAAAAATGACTAAATATTTTATATTCACGATAAAATACAATTCTGCAAGTCCACTTGATCCTAAATTTAATTCAGGCTTAAAATTTAGGACTGGGGAGTCTAGCCCACCATGTTTTCACATCATTATTTGCTAGCCATCCCTAAATAATTAAACCAGTAGAATTTTTCAGAGAAATTTTTTTCTCTGTGCTTTACATGTTAAAGAATCCTGGAAAAGTTTTGGATTATAAAATATAAATAAATAACAGCTCACAAAATATTGGAAACGGAACGTGGAGTACTGACATTTTCACTCTGTTTTGAGAACCTGTAGATGGGCGGCAAAGAATAAGATTTCATCCTGTGAAAAAAAGAAAACAGACAAAAAGTGTTGACATATATATTTGATACTGCAAAAATGATTAACGAATATTGACTTACATACATGAAACCCATACATAAAGCATTGAAGTGTAATACATTTGAACATGACGTGTGCAGGTATATATGTATGTATATTTAGTGTGTACATGTGTGTGTGCATGTACATGTCTATACATAGGAATAGTAGTGGTAGAAAAGTTATTTTAAGCTATATAGTTTATGTCTTGCATATTTCCACAACCATATCCATAATCACATACTGTGTATGCAACTGTTGTATATAGTGTATTATCTTACTTCTTTTTTATTTGTTTGTATTTTATTTGTATTTTTTGTATTTCCCTTCTGATATCTGTACCTGAGCTGAAGTAATGCAAAAATTTCCCCGTCGTGGAATCAATAAAGTCTTATCTTATCTTATCTTATCTTATCTTATCTTAAATAACATCTGTTCACAAACTTCCTAATATATATGTTTGTTTTTTAGTCTGTCTATAATTAAGAAGCTCTTCATAGTTGTGTGATGTACGTGCCTATAATATCTATCTTTAATCATAATCATTTCAAACAGAACACCTTCATACAGATGGAACATGCGTGAGGATTGTAGTTTTCAAGAGAATTAAAAGCACATCTGTAGCCCTAAAGGAGTAATTAGTTGCCCCAGTGGAAAAGATCTAAACACAAACTGTACGGTTTCCAAGAAGCATCCCTGGTCACCATAGTATTCTATTTTTAAAGTTCCACGGCTCTTCGTGAATGACTCAAGACTACACATAGTGATGGATATTAACGGTGTTCATGACTCACTGCTTTTCGTGTGCAATTCTATTGTAAAAATGCTTGTGTTTATTTTTAATGCAGGCTAAATCAAATGCAAAATTTCAAACCTAATGGCATCATTTTGCAGATCTTAGATGTGTGACAGTTTGGTAAATGTCAAGTCTTCATTTTTGTTTTTAAATCAAGCACTCAGTGTTAAGATAAAGTGTTACTTTCTTTACCCTCTGACTCGCCTCGTCCCTCTGGGTTTGGTGAAGAGCAGATCATTGTAAGGAAGCTTCTTAAACTTTTCTCTTCCCACAGCCACATAAAGCTGACCGCTCTCTAGCTGATTCCCCTCAGTCACCTGTTGGCCTTCATAGGTAAAGAGACTAGAACACACAAAGAGAATCAAAAGCCTTATTGTTTACATCATGTGCTTGCTCCATGTGATCGTTTATTGAGCTGGTTGAAAACTGAAGCATACCGACTTTTGTTGTGCCAGTAGAATGTATGTTTCATATAGTGTCAGAGCAGATAGACTACCAGTTAAAAGTTTAGACACAACTTCTCATTTAATGTTTTTTCTTTATTTTTCTGACTATTTACATTATAGATTCTCACTGAAGGCATCAACACTATGAATGAACACATATGGAATTGTATAGTAAACAAAAAAGTTAAATAACTCAAAACATGTTTTATATTTTAAATTCTTATATTTGGTGTCTTTAGCATATACCTACAATATAACAAGAAAAAACACTGAATGAGAAGGTGCGTCCAAATTTTTGACTGGTAGTGTATATTTTTACTTAACAAAAGAAAATCCGTTTTAGCATCGGTAGTAAATACATTTGAGAGAAGAAATCAAAATTCATTAATGCAAATATATGAAATTAGGAATAATCTGCTGTAACGGAAGTGCATGTGTTGAAAGTCTGATGCAAATTAGTTTATATAATAAATCATTAAGTTTGCAAAGAAATGCAGTACATTTATGCAGTTTTTTGTTTTTTGAAATTGTCCACCTACCTTCTAACTCCCCCGAGGACTCTTAAACCCATCTTCTCTGTAATCATTTCTAGTATCTTGTCAAACTGGCCCAGTATCCTCTGGTGGACCAACAGCCTCACTGCGGAGTTCAGTATATCACCATTTGCCACCACACTATGGAAGGGAAATGCACACAGTTAAAAAAAAAGGCAGAACTTTGGAAACTGCTTCAGTTTCCATTGTCAAGTCCAGTTTTTCTTACGCTACCTATCTACTACATCTACTTCTTTTCTATTTCCAAATTGGTCATATATTTAAATTGTGTATTTAATCCAAATAATGGGACAATTTAAGACGATTTTTTCCCAAAGTGAAGTTAAAAACTTGAAAAATTAAAATTCAGCTTACAATATGGTGCATGGCTCCTTGATGGGTTTCAGGAATCGAGCTGACACAATGAATCTATTTGGTGGAAATGGTTTAATCTAAAATAAGAGAAAAAAAGAAACTGTCAAAAAGCGTCAATAAGTCTATATCAAACATACAGCTGTTAATTAAATTTATCTGGAAGAAAAAAACTATTAATGCAGTTTTTAATAACGCACTAAGCTGAATGAGTAATGTTGATGTTTTGTGATAACAGGACTAAGTTAAAAGCTTGTTGGTGAATCACCTTGTCCACGTGGGATCTGGAGGCTCAAAACAACAGACCTGTATAAACTTTAGGGACTTTGCAGACCAATGCTCATACTGTAGTCCAAACAGAATGGGCACTTTACTAACCCTTCATCCTAAATACTGGATACAAAAGACTCATCAGGGTTAATAATAGCATGCGAGCTCTAGAGTCAAAACTAGGAACAACAGTTTGACAGTAATTATATTGCTTTGTAAAATCATTTTAACCATATTTTAGTACACCAAATTACAAAATAAAGAAAGAGCAACATCAAAGCTTTTACTTCTAAAGGGAAAGAAACTCCGCTATTGTCCACACTAAAATCATCCGTGATGTCCGTGACAGCAAAAGAATGAGCTCCCCTGTGATGTGAGGCTGCAGAGAGTAAGCTCTGCAGGTTTTGTCCCACAACACCTGTAACCTACTGTGAGACTTGCATCCTAGGGGAGAATGGGATGAGGGAGGAGTTATATTAAAAGTCTTCTGGTGTGTGTGAGTGCAACCTGGCAACTGAGGTGTGAAGGTCAGAAGTAAAATTAAAAAATCTTAGATAAATAAAGGGCGGTGCATGTTCAGTGGTACACCAGTTTTCAACAGCAAGCCAACTGCACACTGCACACCGGGAGAAAATGCTACAACATACTACAGAGAATATAATTATTTTTATTTATTTTATGTTTTTTGTGAGACCTAGCTAACCAATCCAAATCAAGAAGAAACCAAGCAAGGCAAGGCATGCATCAGTCTCTAGGGACATCACACAAGTTTTTTTATCTATCGATTTGTTTATCAGTATCTGATCTTTCGTTCTATAGCGGGCAAAAAGTCCCCACAGCTCGTTTTAGCGTCCTTGTACATAGTCCACTTGGCAGCAAAAAAACCAAAGGAAACTCCTTGTTCTTTCAGTGCATCATTTAAATAGAACCTCTGCCACATCACACACCTACTCAGTTATATCTCGAGTGTGCACTTGCTAGATACCAGTGAAGTAAACAACAATTAACAAGGTCATCTATAATGAAAGTTCTTGCAGCGGGTGATGAGACATAATCAAGAGCACGTTCTCTTTGAACGATAAACACGTTACAGTCAAGAGGAGCAGATGATGACAGCTAGTGTCTTTAAAGTTGCGGTCATAAGTTAAGAAAAAATAAATTACAATAATTTTAAAAATGGGCTACACACTTTTTAGAATACCCTGACAAAATTTGGAGTGCCCCATTATTTGCTCTGACAGCAATTAGCATGTCAAATTCTGCACCTCTTTATTTTCTGACATCTTGTCTATAATGCAAATGAAGTCAGCAAAATTTGTTATTTTGGGTTCTACTAGACCATTCTGTGCTTTCACCAGGATACATTTTATATTAGTTAAAAAAAAAAAAAATAAGGAGGTCATGAACCTGTAGGCTACCTGACTTTAAGCCCCTTTGGCTCTGACTTCATTGATGCATTAAAGATGTATTAAAAGGAGGGATGATTATGATCCATAAATCAATAATGCATGGAAACTGAGCCGACAACACAGTGATTCCTCACAGAGAACAATTAGGGGGAATGCTAAACATAACACCTTTCTTCAAGGAACTTCATAAAATCTTTACGCTGTGGGTGTTCCCAAATATATTTTTCATTTTGAGGCAGTTTTGGATGTTAAAAACTGGACATAACAAGTTTGTAGTTGAAATGTAGCCACTTCAACACACTTAAGTGTCTGAAACTAAATCTAATGCAACCTGTGGACTTGATGTAGTAAGAGAGCATTTGAGGAGTCTAGCTGGATTATTGGAACTGTAAATTATATAAACCATTTCTTTTAATTGTTAGTTTGAAGCCAGCTATAAAAAAAAAATCCTGGGAATTCCAGGCTGTTAACACTGTTACCCTATACCAGCGTGGATCTTACTGACTTTTGAAGCCGCTTTGCCATACCTGCATTGGAACGGTCTGCATCATTTTCTTCTTCCTGGAGCCAATCTGTAGATAACTAAAAACAAGAGATAACGTGAAGTAAAGGTTAGGTTTCCTGTTCTGTAAGGTATTCTGCACCCCACACATGCAGAATAATGTTTTTCAGCAGTGAGGGATGAGAATTTGCTAACTGCTGAAAGCTGTACTAAGAGTTAAACAGCTAGAATTTAGCCACTTGTCGCATAAAGTCAAATACCAAATGTGCAGCTTTTTACTGCACAAAATTTAATAAGTTGTTATACAGAGAGCGTTAATTTAAATTGTTCCTGCATCATCACAGCTGATATTTCAAACATTTTTATCTGAATGTTTAAAGAAAAAAAATCTGCATGCACTTTCTCTGGTTTTTACTGTAAAAAATAAAGGAGGATGGAGACAGTATGCAATCTTTTTGCATCTGGGATACATTAACTTCCCCTCTGCTGCTTCTCCATTGCATTCTATGAATGAGTGGCTGCTCAAATCTCATTATCTGCTGCATGAGGCCACTTATTTTTAGGCTAGGGCAGAGTACACTTCTCTACAGTGCTGATCTCATTTATCAAGCCGTGAGTCAGCACTGGTGCAAAACTTTAAAGCCACGACTCAGCTCCGTGTCTGACAATTGGCTCGATTTGCGTATATATATATTTGCTAATGTCAGCTACAATGATTATGAAACAGTAGGGATATTTCAAAAGAAATTTGCATGAGTCTCGATTGAATGATTGCTAATGGCCAGCTTTCCCTCTTGAATGCATCAGCAACTGGTAGATGGTTTATTCCTGGTCATCTACAGCTGTATGCATCTAATGCTTATAGACGTCTGTATAATGACACAGCGTGAAAGCCTTATAAAAGTAGGCTAGCTTATTTGCCTAAACCACAATTTATGCTTACTCTAGCTTTTTGAATTTTTCCCTCCCAGCAGCGACGTACTGCTCCCCGCTCCTCAGGCTCTCCAAGCAGTCAACTTTATGACCTCCTCTCGGTGTGTAAATGTTTCTCACGGCTCCAAACGGGGCTTGTATGCCGCCCGTCACCTCTCTTAGCAAGGTTTCAAAGTTGCTCACCCTCTTTTGGTTTATCACTATCCGCCGAGCATCGTAGTATGGATCGCCGTTTCGAAACATGAAAACGTTCTTCACCACGGGTTGAGAGAGAAAGTTTGGCCTCTCCGAACTCATCTTTGTGCGTAAAAGCGGGCGGAGAGAAAAAAAAAAACACGTTACAACAAACTCACGGTTCAGAGGTACAGGCCATTATAACGTCATTAGAGCTGTTCCATTCTCGTCAAATGTTCTGGGTTGAGTAAAAATGGGTAATGGATGCAAATCTTCAACCAGCAGACTGGACAGAGAAAAATCCAGAGGAGGAAAAAACTGCTTTCTGCACTTAAGAAAGTTGCTGATTAAAAGTATGATGGAGCGTATAAAAGTGCTGATGTTTCCCTGCGTTACAAATGTCAGCTGTCTGCAGAATTCCCGCTCCTCTGCACAGGAGTGTGTGGAGTAACCGCTACAGCGTGTGCACCGCTATAAACCGCAGGTGATGGTAAAAAGCCCAGCGAGTCTAAGTAGTTCCCTACTCTATGTAGACTGGGTATCATGGGAGCTCAACTGTTGGGATGTATCTATGGGAACAAGCCGTCGTCCCCTGGCCGATTAGAAGGGACCTTGCACAGCCATAATCACCAGGTAGTCAATCATTAGCTGATGGGATGGAGACCTAAGTGTTCAAATGTGCCCCGTCAGTGTGTGGGGTAAGAAAAGGCCCAAAGAGGTCCGTGGTCAGAGAAAAATAATAATAAAAAAATAAAACAATTTGTAACCAAATACTCCTGGTGGGCAGGTGAGAACGTTAATGAGGCACCATGAGACCAGGTCGAAGCCGGGTTGCTGGTGACATCCTGAAAGCTGGGCGAAAAACATGTTTGTCTTGTGAACTGTAATTATTCTGGAAACGCAGGTCCTAGATATGTGTACCTTATGTACTTTTGCTAAAAAGTCAAACGCCAAATGTATTCATACAAGTCAAAAGACCCAGATTCGTTTTAATTAATGCATGCAATGTTTCTATTAGAACCAATACTACTAATGATACTACTAATAAGAAGAAGAAGACGACGACGAACAACAACTATAACTACTAATGCACTGTCTGTGGTTGATTTCTGTGAAGTTCTAAGCTTTCCAGCTTATTTTTATAATTTTGCTGAGCAATCCGCTTGTTAGAAGTCCGTCAGATAATTCAGAGCAAAAGTTCTACACAAGTAATTATAATAAATATAACTAAATGTAATAAATATAGCCACTGTGGTGTACTTTTTTGGAGCCATTTCGGTGACATTGTAGGTGAGCGTTTGTAAGTGCGTGCATCACCTTAGAAGATGATGCACAAAGTGTAATTCATTTACAAAGAGAATTCACGCCGGGGCCAATAATAGCTTACACTACTATGATTATTATCCGAATACTGAAATTTGAAGTGGAACAAAAAACCACCAAGTTTTGCATCATATTTTTAAACACTCCATAGTAGACAGGATATGAAGTCAGTTATATTAAAATGAGTTCGGTTCTTTATTTGAACTCTTCATAATGAGTAAGCTCTGTGCTCTTTTTTTTTTTTGGCAACCGAACTGTATATACAAGTAACCTCGCATTGATGGGCTGCATATAGTGGTATGTAGTGCCCTTTTCCAACCAGTAGAGGGCAGTGGACACCAAATAACGGATCATAACCACACACCTGCAAGATAAGACGCCGAAAGAAAGTATTTTTATGCAATAAAAAGTAATTTGTGTACTTATCCATTCACAGAGTGTTGCCTCTGTTGGTTCTGTGATGTCATAGTAGTACAATAGTATGGTGCATGAAAACGTGATGCATTTAGCAATACTCTTATGACATAAGAAGTTATAGAGTATTGTCTCAAATGTTCAATTAACTACAGGCAGTTTATTTGTTTTCTGTATGCTATGAAATTAAATTGATTCGTTTATTCTTTGAACATAAAAGACCTCCAGTTTGAGACTGGGAGGAGATGCAAACCCAGCCTCAGGTGGTCACAAGCTAGTATACTCCTAATGCTGGTTCCAAGCCTACACAAATGAGAGGGCTGCATCAGGAAATAACAAACCTTTGGAAATAAGGGAGCGGCTAAAAGTACCTATTTTTTTAATTTGGAAAAATGATTATGTTCCTAGCATATTTTTTTCAAAAGACATTTTTATTTAAGACTTTCAGTGCACAAGGTTTACTCAGTTTTCAGTTAAAGTGACTGGAAAGTTGCAGAATGTGTATATCCCATTAGACACAATATCAAGAATAAGCCCAAATAATATAAGCACAGTGCACATCAAAACAAGAAAATTCCATTTTCTTCCACCTTTCCTTGTGTATATGTATGTCTTTTTTTCAATCTCAACAACAGTGGCAAGACATGAAATTATACATAATTGCTGTTGTTTATCGGATGTGATAATGGCACCTTTTAAACCCTATCCCTGCACAGCCAAAATTGCTTTGCAATTGCCCTTGCTTGACAACATTTGGAAAAAACTTGATGGCAAATATCTGTCATTGCCTGATAACACTAGCGAGAAACTGAGGTAGGGTGGCATCATAAAAACGTAGAAATTCAGGTATATTAAGGATCTACTTCTGTATCAAATAAAATGTAAATGTACAAAAGTGCTTGTTTGTTGTTAAAACCTTAAATAGACTGGCTAAAAGGATCAGTAGAGAGAGCAGTTGATACAAAAACAGTTAAGTGCTGTAACTAAGAAAAATGTGTGCTTTTATTTTGTAAACCTGGCACATTAAGGAATCATAATAAAATGATAAATAAGTGAAAGCTTTTACTTTTGAAAATCTGAACAATTTCTGAGGATAACATTTCATTTTTTTAAGTTAACTGGGAGTTTTAACAACGACCCTGACAAGGATAAGCAGAAGAGAATGGGTGGATGGATGGACTGGGAGTTTTATGTTTAAAATTTCACAGCATTAAAGCAATTTTAGGTTTTTATATTGAAAAAGTGATACTTATAGGAATTTCTACAACTATCTTGGGGCATTTAATTAAAAAAAACTGAGATTATTCCAAGCATCAAATTCATTTCCTAAAATTACCTAGGAGCATTTAGTTTGAAATTTTCACAGCATTAGGACTACTTATAACTTGAGAGCCCCAATGTGCTGGCCCATCACACATCTACTGCTCGAGGTGGGAAGTAAAGACTTAAGTAGATTTTTCAGGCATCTGTACTTTATTTGAGTAGCTGTTTTTCTGACAGCTTTTTACATTTATTCCCTACATTTTTATACAAACATCTGTACTTCTACCATTTTCAAAGGGGGCTCATTTCTTTTGGTTTAATTGATTTAAGGAAGCCATCAAACATCAAACTGATTTGAGCCTAAACAGTAACGTATGAAAGACAGTCCTGTTCTTGTATTAATCACCAGGGTATGTCACATAGAAAGAGACGAAAGAGGCAAAACTGTGTACTACAGATAGGAATACAAACTTTATTTTACTCTATCTAATAATATTACATTACTATTACATTAATGTAGCAAAAGGTTCAGCTAACTTTGCATAAAAATAGGTGGTAGAAATGTTCTTCAAGGAGCTATTTCTACTTTCTTATTTTAAGTATGTTTCAGAGCCTGTACTTTTTCACTTCACTTGAATCAGCACTTCAGCTTTTATTGTAGTATTTTTTGACACTGGTATCAAAAGTACAGATATTCTTTACTTAGTTCTACTCAAATAAAGAACATCTGTACTTTTACCACTTCTGTCTACTACTCAGCCACTGACAGCAGTTCAGCATGTCTTAAATACTCTTGAAACTGAGGAAGAATCAAGAACAATGTAAACGTCCTCCTTTTATGAGATGGTTAGCATGAGGGTCTGTGCAGACCTCCTTTTGCCTATGGACCTGCCCATACAGATGGTGCACTAGGGCTCTCAAGAACCTAAATATCTGCTCTGGCTGGAGGTGTGGCTGAATCATTTGCCACCTAGGTTCAGTTACTACACCTGTTTCCCATCTTCAAATTACCGCTGTGGATTTGAGGTCCAGTTCTTACCTCAATTTTGCTGTCATAACTGCTAGTTGTCATTTACCGCCTTGTGTTCCCATGGATAGATGGCAATGTCATGAATATATAGTACCTGCTAGTATTTTTAGATTTTATTATTATCATTATTAGTAGTAGTAGTTTTCAGTTTATCCAGCTATAATGTGTAGAAGTTAATTAATACTAGTGATAGTGCTATTGATCACTACTTTCTTATGGACACCAATGGATGATGATCTAGTTTTTTCATGAGCAAAAGCTGTTTGGTGCAAGTTTCAGGTCTGTGGTGAAATTGCTTAATGAACAGGACTTCTCTTCATGCCTGAGAAAATAATCTTGAAGGCAAACTAGCCAAATTTAAATATTTAAAGATAAATATTCTGATTCCCAGAACTTCTTCATTATGCTCAGTGTCCCATACATATTTATATATACACTCAGGGTAAGAATAAAGTGTACCCATTGTCGATTTTACATATCAGGAATCATGAAAAGATCATCTGTCCTTTAGCAGGGTCTAAAATTGCATAATAACAATACATAACAACGGCATCATTTATTTAACAAAAACTAAGCCAAAATGCAAAATTATTGCATGAAAAACTAAGCACACCCTTGCAGCTTCCATAGAAATTAAGACGGTAAGTAGGAGTGAGGTGCTTAGTTTTTCACACGCTGTTTTTGCATTTTGACTTCGATTTTTTAAATAAATAATGACACATTGTAAAATGTCATGTACTCTGGTGATCTACTTCCTCATTTAAATGAATTGAATAATTTTAAAACATGCTAAGCTTTGATAAAACTATGATATATGATGCCTTGGAAATGAGGTCAGATGCACTGAACACTAATGAAACCTTTATTTTAAAACAACAACATTTGGGAATCTTTAACAAATGCAGAATGTAGAATGTTACATTAGTGCTTCCCATCATTACTACACATCAATTAGCAAACCGTAAGTAACTAAGTAAAGTCTAATTAACAATGAAATTGCAGTGAATTAATCATCTTTTTATTCTAAATGACAAATCAACCCTTACAGTCTCATTTAATAACCAGGAAGTTAAACTTTTGATCTATTTTGAGAGATTGTGCTTTTTAATCATCAATTGTACC